TTCTGAAATTTCCAAATCCACAAATCAGTTGTATTTGGCAGAGATGTCAACTGTTGGACACAACCAGGTGCCATCTAGAATGAAAGCACGGATGCAAGGCATGCAAGGCACACGAAACGACTGGGGGAAAGTTAATTTACCTGTGTGTGTGTGGGGGGCACATGCTTTAAACATAGTTACTAACAACGGATTAAGTCATTCAAAAAATATCAAAGACTATGTTGTAGCCCGGATTCATGGCCATGCTTTATTAGGAAACAGCAGGCCAAGATCTTTCCTAAGTTTCTGGTAGACTTTGGCTCTCCTATGCTTAAAAATGGCTCAGAATCCTTCCAACTTCATGCTAGAGAAAACCACCAGACCTGGACCAAAGCTGAAACACACTTGCCGTCCTTGAAGGAGGCTTTCAGTAAGGTCAACGAGTACTTCCAAGTCTGTTTCTCACATCTTCAAAAGAATATTGTATTCACTAGCAATGTTTAAACCTGAACGCAGCAATGCATTTTCTGAATAAAAAGTCTATCAGTGTATGTGGGGTGCAGTGTTCTATACAGACATTACTTACAAATTCATTAACTTCGGATGACTGGATACTATTACACAGTGGATCTAGTACCTGAACTATAAGATTCCCCACATTCTATTCCAAACCATCTGATAATCAAAATGAGGAATTCCTTTACTCAAAAGGTAAAAAAGAAAAAAACAATATGTTCCTTAATTTATTCAATACAGCAGGTAGATTTTATCCTCATAGTGCCACTCTTGAATAAAGGATTACTAAAACCGCTTCCAAGCAGTTAAACTTGTATGTTTTCCCCCATGCTATCTCACATTCAGCTGGCTGAGAAAGCCTGCAGCGTAACTGCCACAAGCCTTCATTCCTGCAGTAAGCGTTGTTTTTCTCTAACTGTAGGTGTGCACACACTCTCCACCTTTGCCGACAATCTGTCTGTTTCAGATTCTTTCACAGGCTCTAGGCTCTTTGGGATTCGGACTCAAGAAGGAAGTTATGATGACAAACCCTCTGACGACTGTGTCCCTGCAAGGCCTGCGCCATTTCTTCCTTTCCAAAAGGGAAACTGACATGTAGCAACCTGGTTTATCAAATTATCAACCTAACTTTTAACCTAACAGAGCTGTCAATGGGGGAAGAAAACAAAAACAAAGCAAAAACACGAATTTGCTGCAAAGAGTTCTTAAGTAAAGCAAAAAAAAGCATGTTGAAAATAGTTTCTCAACCCGTAGCACTAAACATGTAATGTACATGTTTCCTCATATTCAAGCTTCTGTTTTTCAAAAAAGGCACAACAGATTATTGTGTATCGCAAAGTGGAACAGAAGGAAGATTTAAAATAGAAATAAAGCTTATTTTTTCTTTTTTAGAAAGAATATCATAGACATGAAAGTTAAAATTCACAGTTAAGAGGCCCGTGGCTGTAAAAACGAGCCTTTGCCTAGGGTGCTTTGTAAGATTTACATAGAATAACTCCAACATTTTTCTTTTTCTCATTTTTAATTAAGGAGGAGGTGTTGTATTCTAAGGAAGCTATCTGGATGCTGCTGGCTGAAATACAGATTTGATCTTCTCGTGTTGGTTAGCTAACATTGATTTTCTGCCCCAGTGGAAGAGATTTTACTCTGATGCATGCCATTTAAATTCATTTTACACAGCTGCTTAATGTGGCTTGGCAAGGCACAGCCAAACTAGCTTTGCGGGTCTAAATAGGACTCCTGAGTTGGTAAAGGACAGATCCTATGGATTAGCAGCTGATGATAAATGCTTTTCTCCCCCTGCTGTTATCTTTCTACTGACTCATGAATTGACCTTGAAGGTACCATAAGAAAGTAACAAAGAGGAAAAGACAGTCCCAAGAATAAGTATGTTTACCTCATTCTATATTTGTTATTTTACATTGAGAATTATGTTTACAGAATTTTCTATTTGTTGGTCCACATGGAACACCATGTTTGCAGACTTCAGGACTTTCAATTACAAAATTATCATTTGCTTTGTCTAAGTAAATGTATAGTGAATATAAAACTATTAGAAAGCTCTTTCTGTCATGCATTTACAACAAGCAGCGAAAGCACAGTTTTATAAGTTTACTGTTTAAAGAAAGCTAGTTCACAGTTACCTGTTTTAACTAAAGATGAGGTATGGTTCTACTGAAACTGCCTACTGAACACAATTAAGTCTGTACGGGATAATCTTAAATATATGCAAAATGATATAAATAACATTTTTGCTTAGATCACTCAAAATAATAATAAACTTTAAGAGCATTTGCTAACCTAAAAATGGTGACAGAGCCTGATATCACATATTTTTGTAGTTAGAAAGAAGAGAGATACTTTTTGTTGCTGTATGTAATTCCTGTGTTGAAATTGATAATAATATGGCAACATTGTGTTTAGAAAGAAAATTCTGTGTTGGATTATTTTGCTGTATTTTCCTGGTGACTTTGATATTGTAATACTTGTGGGGAGAAGGAAATAACAGAACTCTTTGGCACAGACATTTGCTCAATGATGATCTAATGAGATCCTCCTAAGTGCTAGGAACAGCCCGTGTCAGTCCTACTGTAGTGAGATGCTGCGCTCTGAATTTGGGGGCAGGTGTAGCAGCAGTTCACTGTGGTGGCAGGAATGATAATCACGGTCATGAGAACAGTGCTGCACGACACATGTTCCTAGACAGGACGACAACAATGGGGGAAATGACGCCAGAGCAGGTGATGTAATTACTTTTACGTTATATACCAGTTTTATCTCCCTCTCAGGCATGAAGGGAAGCAGCCATGCCAAAGCCATGCAGACAGGACCTGGAGGATGGCATGCGGGCTTCCACCAAACAGCCACAGTACTGTTAGTAAGAAAGAAAACGAACAAACACAACACAATGGACAAGAGGACGACCCCTGAGATGGATTTCCTGTTAGGGCTTTCACTGTCTTGGGCTGGGAGTTCCTGTGCAGCCAGATGGCACGTTGGTTAACAGTGTGAAAGAAATGCCCAGGCCCCGCAGCAAGTCCGGGGTGTGTTGCTACCTACCCGTACTGGTCAGGCTGGTGCATCATGGGAGCCTGAGAGTTGCCATAGTTGGGGTGCTGGGAAGAAAACATGGGGCGTCCGCCAGCCCCAGACTGGCTGGGATAAGCAGGCGACCTAATGTATGGTGGCCTAAAGTGGAACAGAAGAACAGCTTCTTTGGATTTGTTCTGTAGCACAAGTATGAATCCCTGTCCATACGTTACTCCCACACATAGGTGTGGGGTTACAGAGAGCGGTAACTCAGCAGAATACCCTGTACCCTGCAGCTGCCTGGGAGTGGAACTCGATAAAAGTCCTTTAAAAAAAGTGGGGGACACGGCAAAGGAGAGAGGACAGTAATCCCCGTTTATAGTTTTGAAGTATAGCTTTGACTTTGTAAAAGCAAAAAATAAAATATACAGCCCCCATTTAAACGCCTGGAGAGCCGAAACGGGCAGGATGTGAAGGCGAGGCTTTGGGATGGTCTACTGGTTCGAAATAGAAAATGAAAATGCATGGTGTGTATTTACACATTAATTTCTATAAAAGGCTATATAAACTGATTCACAAAGAGAATACATAAGACTTTTTAATCAAACAGAATGACGCCTTACTCTCTATGGTTATCTTCTCAAGTCACTATAAAGGCTGTATGTCAAATGCAATCAAATACTTTCTACTTAACAACAACCAAAAAAAAAGAAATTCCCAAAACAAAACAAAAAACAACCTTGTGCTTTATGAGTTATAACAATGGTCAATTCATTTGAACCTCAATTAGAACTTCACTTGGACCAGCCAAACCAGTCTTCACAGACAGGTTTATTAAAACATTCTCTAAAGCCAGTGTAGGCTTGGCTGGGAGGTACACTGCTGGGGTTCAGAAGATTTTAAGTAATTGTAATGTACAGACAGAATGAGAGAGATAATGATTGATTTTCATTTTAATTCCTCAAGGGAAATTTATCATTATTTGGAACAAACAATGAGATGGGAGGGGGTCCCTACATTCCCAAAATAGCAGCTTCAGAGGAAAAGTAACTAAGGGACACATGTAAAACGCGCGCACGTACACGTACACACATACACACACACACACACACACACACACACGCTTTTATTTCCCTTTGACAAAAATCAGAATATTCTTTCTTTTCTTCTGAAGATGTCATTAAAATATATGTCTTTCAATGTGCTCTGTTTTAAAATATATTTACATATGCTTCTTTTAAAATGTATTCACTTTTGTCTTATAAATTTTGAATTATGTTATTTTTATACAGGTCAAATATTTACTTCAAGAATTAATTTTAAAAATCAGCATTAAAAACAACTAAGTAATTGAATTGAAGGTAAAGTCTTAATCTATCAACTGTCTAAAATACTATCTTGGCTTTATTAACCATATTTTGCTTTGGACAGATAGAAAAGTATCCCTGGAAAAATAACACACAAGAATATAAAGTATATAAATCTCACACATACACATTTAGACAAACACACAATACACATATGTGCACATAAAGTTTCTATTTTATAAAGATTCTTATGGTAGTGTAAAAAAAGGAGGAGTGTGTTTCTTTTTCAGTGTTTCAGAGTTTAAATAATTTTTAAGCTTTAGTACTTTCTGCTTAAAACCCACTGTTTCAGTTGGAACCTCACAGACAGCTCCCTGTGCACCTGCGTCTGCTCTGCTGGTTGTAAGGGCCATTCAGACATTTCAAACCCCCCACAACTGATGGGCCCGCCACTCAGACTCCTTCCCTGATGCACCATAAAACACGGTTTGTCACTTACTTCTCTGACCTTATATTACAGAATATAGTTAACACGAGAAGAACAGCCAAGCACAGCTGCGTTCTACTGCGCCTGTGTAACCTTGGGAAGCGCTGCTGCTGTGTGTTCGGTTACGCGGTCACATGTACACATACAGAATACCTGCCGGGGCGTCGTCCTGAACGGCGTACCTGCTTTGTGCTGAGTTTGCAGCAGCCTGCATCACTGCTGCAGCTGCCTCCTGTGCCTTACGGTTCACAGTTGGCATTGGCGGCCCCATTCCTGGCCCTCCCTGCTGAGACATGCCAGGAGAACTGGGGGTCATGCTGCTCATATTTCCAGGAAATGGTCTGCTCTGCATCCCAGCTGGTGGCATTCGTCCCAGGGGCACAGCACCACATGGCTGGCTTGGCCCTTGTCCATGCATCTGGTTGTTGGCATTGATACCCACACCGGGCCCTGGGCCGCTGTAGCTTGCACTGGGCACCCCACTATACGCTGGGGGTCTGGAGTAGTTACCTAAACAAAAAGCAAACACAAATTAAAGCCTTTTATTTAATCTTTAAACTTGTGCAAACATTCACTGGAAATACTTTTTGTCCAACAGGGTGATCACCAGAGTATCAGTCGTGATCCTTGCTGGCCCTGCCTGTGGGTGCCGAGGCGGCTGCAGCACGCGTTCTCTCTGCACCCCGAAGGCAAGGAGCCCACAGGACCTCTGCGAGGCTGAAGAGACCTTCAGGTTAATTGTACAAACGATCTATTAATAGGCAAGAAATACTAGTACTGAGTGCTGCTTCAAGGTGTTCAACACCTCATATTCTTATATTTTAACCAAAACAATTATTTCAGCTCCCAGTCTTCAGGTGAGGGCCACCGTGAGGCTGGACCACCCCTGCACTGCCACACCTGATGTTACAGTAACGGCTCAGAGATGACATGGAAGACAAAAATCCCACAGGAAGATGTTGTGGAGAAACCTGACATCAGTCCCGGTTTCTTTCCAACATTGGGAGCAACCTTTTTGTTTGTTTGAGCATCATACAAAGGGGCTGGTTTGTGCTTGCTGCCATGTCTTACAAAAGCAGGTCCCGCCGTCCTAGCTATGTTGGGAGGCTGAGGCAGGAGGACTGCTTGAACCCGAAGTTCAAAGCTGCAGTGAGCTGGGATTATGCCACTGCACTCCAGCCTGGGTGACAGAGCAAGACCCTGTCTCATACTCCTCACCCTGCTGTGCCTGGCCACATGCACACAGGAGTACTGTTCCCTCAAGGCCCCGGCTGTCTCAGGAGTTCTGTTTTCCCTTTTCTTCCACACCTTTTAATTTGAGGTGTATATAAATTAAATTCAAATAAATCAAAGGCATACATGATAGGGCTTCAATAATAATAACAACTGAAGATGGTAACTGTTGAACCATAGTGTGTGACAGACACCTGGCTAAGTGCTTTGCACGAATGTACCCATTCATTTCTCCCAATAAACATGAAATACAGATACCACCAGAACTCCATTTACAAATGAGGAAAATCAAGAAGAGCTAGTAGATTAGGGTTGAAGCTCAAGTGAACTGACTCTGGAACCCATGTATTTAACCAAGAAGACATGCTGCCTCCTTAAATGACTTGAAGTTAAGTACATGTACAACGATAAGTGTTTGTAGGATACGGATTAGTGTTTCTCAATCAGTCCTTACTACTTTCTGGAAGACTATCCCCAAGCATAACTACACACTTTATATGCCAGAAACTTCTAGGCACAGGAGACACAAAGTTAAATGCAATCCAATTCCTGTGTGTGTGTGTGTGTGTGTGTGTGTGTGTGTGTGTGTTGCACATGTGTAGTAGAGCAGCAGGGGTAGAGACAGCTGGGGGGCTTAGGGGGTCACCCGAGGTGGGGGCTTAGTGGTGATTCCTTGGAATAAGCAGCTCTGGGGCCAGAACTGCGGGCAGGCTGGCTTCAGGGGCTGGGCGAGGCTCGCGCTGCCTGCCTGCAGGACCTTAGGGACTTGCTTTCATCTTTTCCCCTTTCATTCTCTTCTCTGTAAAACAAAGACAGTCCTCTCTAATATTGTCCACTTGCAGAGTTGGTGTTAGGATTAAACAGTATAATGCACATAAAGTAAGTTAAACATGGGTGTGACACGGAGAGGTTGTTGTTGGCTGGTGGCTGAGGCAGAGGAGGGGGAAGAGTCCTTCTGTCAGGGATGGCAAGGACAGACAGACTCACGACATCACTGAGGAGGACAGATGGAAGAGGCCAGGTCCGGCAGGGCCTTGCTTCTAAATTTGGGGTTTATCCTTTGTAGATAAGGAGGAGCTTCTCAAGGATTTCCAGCAGAAATAGGGTTGGATTAATAATTACAATAAAAGCAAATACTTAATATTTACCATGTGCTAAACTTAGTTCCAAGTTCTTTGTATTAACTCACTCAACCCTGACATCAGGCCTAAAAGGTACATACCACTGTAATCCTCACTTGGAGATGAGGAACCTAAGGCACAGGGATGCGACAACTGCCCTGAGGCCATATGCTAATGGTCGCAGAAGCCAAGGTCTGGACCCAGGCTGTCCGTGAGTGTGGCTGAGTCCAAGTATGTCACGCTACTCTATGTTGCCTCTCAAATGTTATGAAAAAGCATACTTACGTAATACTATTACCATAATTGTAAAAACAGGCTTTCTTAAATTCACACATACAAGACTGTATCCTCTGCAAATCTGCAAGAAATTCGATAGACTTTTCAACATTTATTGAGTTCTTGTTCTTTGTTAGGTGCATCATGTTCATTTTGTTAATTCGATTGTCCATGGAGCGTGTGTTATTAATTACAGGTGATGCGAAGGCCACTGTTCACGTAGACCATGGGCCAGCACACTTTTTCTGTCAAAGGCCAGGTGGTAAATGCCATAGGCTTTGTGGGCCAGACAGTCTCTATCATAATTACTCAGTTCTGTCACTGGAGCCCCGTGGCAGCAGCACACACAGGTACATACACAGACGGGACTGGTGGTGTCCCAATAAAACTTTATTTATAAAAACAGGTGGCGGGCCACAGTGGGTCGTAAGTCCTGATATAGACCAACTTTGGGATAAGCTAATAATTTCTGCTGCACTAGCAACAGAAATGAGACTTGTTCAAGCCAGCAGCTTCCTTAACCTTGAATACCATCTGGAAGGCTGAAGAAAGGCTTAAGAGGATTAAGAGAGCGCAGCAGTGGCAGATCGGAGAGACTGGGAAATGGAGAGGAAGATGCGAGGGCCAGCAGGAAGGAACAGGACAGGCACAGCATAAACACCTCAGGTGTGCTTTGCTGCGTGCAGGTCAGTCTTAAATTTAAACTGCTTCTTCATGAAGATACATTGCCTTTGCATAGTCAAGGTTTGCAGAAATAATCAAGCTTACATTGTTTTCAAGTAAAAGGTAAAAAAAAAATTTGAAACTGTTCATCACTTTCAAAGTTGTTTATAAAATATTCTTAAATTGCTTCTGAATCTCTCATTCCACAGGACACTCCTACCTGGTGCATCTTCCCATCACGCAATCTCAGTGGAAAAGGGACCTTCTTGTGTCCCCTGCTGGGCGGGACACAGAGCAGGCCGGACTGCTGGCGCTTCCTCTGCCCACGCTCGCCCCGAGTCCCCGTGCTCGTCTGTCTCCTTCTCCCCTTCCCAGACCTCAGATCCACTCACTTCCAGATTATCTGATAAGACCAGTGAAACGGAGTGCTCCTTTTTGGCTCTTGCTTTTATTAAAAATAAATATGCTCATTCATAGTTTGAACGCTGGAGTAATTAATTCACATATTCATGCTATTGCTCTAGGGCTAGTTTCTACCCTCCCCCAACACTTGATAAGTGACTCATTTGGTAAGAAGCCTTTTTCAGTGAAAACATATGTGCCCTTTGCTTTCAAAGGAAACGAAATAACACTTTAATCTTGTTTTAGAAAACAAGCATTTAGACATGGTTGTTCCAGACTATGTCCACAATGTGGTCTTATTAGAGAAAGAGGTTCCTAATTTTGCTTAACTCTGCTTACAGCTGTGACGGAGAAATGCTGTCACTCCGAGTTCTTGGTTTAACTGGCAGTCGAGGGCTGTATTTTAATGAACACAAAGGAAAGAAATGACTGAGATGCTTAGTTACCCAGTACCCTGCTTCAGTCTCTCACTCATGTTACATACTGAAGAAAGAAGGGCTGTGTTTCAATAGCTTTGCTCCATGCGGCAGCTGGTCTTCGTCCTCTAGCAGGAAGCACTCTGCAACCGGGTGGAGCATGCATCAGAACATGACCACGCACACCCACACATGCACGCACGCACTTGTGCTCAGAAAGGCACTGAGCATGGGGGTCCCCATCTATTTTTCTCCCATCAGTTGGGTTGATTCCATGAACCAGCACTCAAGGGAATATGTTCTAATTATAGAGGACTCTATCTGGCAGAAGAAATACAAAGTGCCCTTTTCTTTTCCTTGCAATTTTAAAGACTTTCCTCATTAAGCTCACATGCCTGGATACAAACGGTCTAATGGCTTAAGAAGCAGCAATGGATAAAGCACCGGCTTCAGAATCTGGGTCTGAATACTGGTTCTGACACTTCCTAGCAGTGTGACCTTGGCCAAGTTATTTAACCTCTCTGAACTGTGATTCTGTCATCTGTAAAGTCAGGATGATAATGTGGAAAAGGCTGAAAGTGTCTAGTACCGTGCCAGGCACAGAGCTGCCCAACAAATGATAGCTGCTACCGTCAGCATCCACAGCCATAGCAACAGCATTTACATTATCTTCCCCCATGTCTTAAAAATGTGTGGACGGGGCAAAAATGATTCATGCCTCCCCCAACTACTCGATAACATAGCTTTCTTCCCAAAATAAACAAAAACCAAATATGTAAGCCAAGCAAAATATGAGAGGAAAAGCCAGGAATGAGGAGTGCAATCTTATTTCCATGTTTCTCTAATAGATTAGTAATTTGTTGGCACTAGCTTTGACAGAAAACAGATGGGTCCGGCACTGAGCACAATGAAGGCAGCAGATGCCGGCCAGCCCACCTCAGCTGGACTGGTCCTGCCGCCAAGTCCAAGAGCCCTCAGTTTTCAAGTGGGTTCATCTTGGCACACCAGCTTTGGAAAATTGGTCACCAAATGAATTCAGATTTCTACCCACCAAGAGTTATATTTAAGCACCAGAAAGAAGAAGCAGTAGCAAGACTCTATTCAAATCACCTTCATTATTTTAGGAGAATCACAAATAATTCTATACCTGACTCCAGAATATTTACATTTGCTAGTTATAATAAGTACTCAAAGCTTACTGCTTTTCGTAAACTATTAAACGTTTCCACTCACATACGAAATTTTGCTTCTCAGTTCCAATCATTCCACAATTCCTTAGGAATGACTGCTCTGAGCAAGGCTCTGCATTACTTGTCATACAGTGGAGGATAAAATGGATGCACTCAACATAAACTGGACATCTTACTCTGGCAGGAAAAAATGAAATGCATAATTAGCT